AGAAATAAAAACTTGGGATGTTTCACTAAAGAGGCCTATGGAATTGTTTTTACAGGAATACAGGTAATGTTATCAAGGTGGAATCATCCCTAGTTAAGACCAGAGAAATGATCTATAACCATCTGAAAGGCACTGCATTAAATGTTATCCTACTGAATGAGTCAAAGTTTTACCATATAGGAACAATAGCAGAATATGCACATTATTTCTGTGAGGACCCTGTCTTTAGGTAAGTTCATTGGTGGTGTGGGGGAGTAGTGTGTGTGTTGTGGGGAGGACCCTGTCTTTAGGTAAGTTCATTGGTGGTGTGGGGGAGTAGTGTGTGTGTTGTGGGGGGGACCCTGTCTTTAATGTGTGTGTTGTGGGGGGGGGTAGGTTGTGTGGGGTATATCACTGGAGTTTTACCATGCAGTAGCACGCCTATGTGTAAGTGTATGTAATACGTGTATGTAATATTAATAATACTTCGACTTGAGAGCGCATCAAGCTGTGTCTTTCATGATTCAGCACCCATGACCCATGCTTACATGAAGGATGATTAGCACCTAACACCTTTTCCTTTCCACTTTTCATGTATTTTCAAGTTCATTTTCAGTTTTCAACAATTCAAATCATTTGTTTTGTACAGATTTGAATCCTCTGGACATCATGAAATCCATGTTTCTAAAACAAGCAAGTATTCCAGATCACCCAAYACTGTCATAGCTGAGAGCTCTGTTCTTATGCACTGCCATAAAAATTTACCCTCTCATGTTGGTCCAAAATGTGTGCTAGATTTCTGTGAAATTGGAGAAAGTGCATGTGTTGAAAAGGGCTGTATAATTACCAATGTTGCTATMCCAGAGGAAGCTGAGGTCCCTGAGAATGTTTTCTTGATGACTGCTTGTGTAAAGTTAGGTGGAATGAATGGTCTGTTTGTGACGGTTGGTTTTGGTGTTGAGGATGACATGAAGAAGACGTCCAAGAAAGATGAGCTGGCTAAACTAAGTTATGTTGGACAACCATTGGACAAGGTTTTTACCCTTCTGGGAATTTCACAGGTCAGCAGCAGCCATGATATCACCATAAACATCATCATCATCATCATATCTAATATAAAAATTAGGTAACACCTAATAGCGGAGCTCATATGAAAGTGGGCCTAAAAACGCTTGAAAATAAATTTACTTTATCGCAAATCGATTTCCCGTATGTGCAGACGTGTCGTAGTTGTGACTAAATTGGCGGGAATATTTCTGTGTTTTGATTTTAGTCTCCTGTGGATATTTTGCTTGTGATTAATTTTTCTAATATTATCAATTTGGAAGATAAATTTCGATGTTTCAACAAATATTTTGACACTTCCTTTCGTAAATATGGGTTTCCTGTGGTGGTACACGGACGGAAGGAAGTACGGAAGGAAACGTGCGTACGCGCGGGAACCCTATGTCGGTCCATGAAAAATCGATTCGATGGATTTATTTACCGGCGCGAGGTCCGTACATTAAAGACCGAGGGCAGTGTTTTCCTATACGGACCGACCTATAGCTAGCCTCCTTTAGCAGCCGTCCTGTGTCGTCACGCTTACCTATAGCCGGTAAATAACAATTTTATTTTTTGTATTTGTATTTTCTGCAACTTTGCTCGCAACCTAGCTCAGGATACAGTGGACCGGGCATATCGTGAAATAGCGGTCGTCCACGGGACTTAGTAAGTTGACCGCTTAATAGAGGCAGACCGCTTGATAGAGGTTTATTTAGGCCAAATATAGAAAATTAAAACTGTTTCGTCCAAATCAGCGCCGTAACCTTATACGCTATCAATAATTGCACAACTGGTTGATGTAAGACTACTCGAAGCAAAAAAAAAAAAAAACGTAAAAAAACACGTAAAACATATGGACAACCTCGTGCAGAATTGCCTAGCAACCAGCGCTGAACGGGGCCTAGAAAAGGCGCTACTCGTTAACAAAAAAAATAACAAACAGTACAAGAATTTTTAAGTTCACTTTCTTATCTTGCATGATCTATTTAACAAATAGATCTCATTTTTCCGTGCGTGTGTACTCTAATAGATACACAGATGACGTCAAAATGTAGTGAGAACAAAAAAGTACGCACGAGACGCAGTCGAGTGCGTGACTGTTGTTCTCACTACATTTTGACGTCATCTGTGTATCTATTAGAGTACACACGCACGGAAAAATGAGATCTATCTGTTTNCCAGAGGAAGCTGAGGTCCCTGAGAATGTTTTCTTGATGACTGCTTGTGTAAAGTTAGGTGGAATGGATGGTCTGTTTGTGACGGTTGGTTTTGGTGTTGAGGATGACATGAAGAAGACGTCCAAGAAAGATGAGCTCGCTAAACTAAGTTATGTTGGACAACCATTGGACAAGGTTTTTACCCTTCTGGGAATTTCACAGGTCAGCAGCAGCCATGATATCACCATAAATATCATCATCATCATATCTAATATAAAAATTAGCTAACACCTAATAGCGGAGCTCATATGAAAGTGGGCCTAAAAACGTTTGAAAATAAATAATAATATAATAATAATAATTTATTACTTATATTGCCCATACTCCATGGGAAGATGCTCGCATGGGCATTACATAACATTAGAATAGATAAAAATACAACTATTTACAATATATATAGTTATAAAAGTGTCTCGACTATCTTGGGAACGCCTTTTCAAACAAGAAGGTCTTAAGATGCTTCTTGAATTCGGAGATTGATGAGAGATTACGTATACAAAAGGGAAGACTGTTCCATAAGAAAGGTGCGGCTACTGAAAACGATCGGTAGCCTAAGGTTGAAAGTGTTCTTGTTCGGGGACGCTGCAGAAGGAGTTCGTGGCTATTTCTAAAACTGTATCTGGATATAGGCTTTACAGTTATAAGATCCTTAATATAAGACGGGGCAAAACCATTCAGTGCCTTGAAAGTAACGAGTAAAATTTTAAAGTCAATCCTGAATTTGATAGGAAGCCAGTGTAAATCCATGAGGGTGGGAGTTATGTGATCGAATCGATTCACATTGCAGATAAGTCTGGCGGCCGCATTCTGGACACGCTGTAGTTTGTTAAGTTGTGTCGCTGGGAGTCCAAAGAGCAAACTATTACAGTAATCAAGCCTGCTGGTAACAAAAGCATTAACAAGGGTCTGTGCAGCTTGGAAGCTGAGAAATTTTCTGATCCTTTCATCTATCGCAAATCGATTTCCCGTATGTGCATAGAAAATTAAAACTGTTTCGTCCAAGTCAGCGCCGTAACCTTATACGCTATCAATAATTGCACAACTGGTTGATGTAAGACTACTCGAAGCAACTAAAACAAAACTTAAAAAAAAACACGTAAAACATATGGACAACCTCGTGCAGAATTGCCTAGCACCCAGCGCTAACGGGGCCTAGAGAAGGCGCTACTCGTTAACAAAAAAATAACAAACAGTACAAGAATTTTTAAGTTCACTTTCTTAGCTTGCATGATCTATAACCTTTTAGCCATTTTTTCATATTTTTTTCTCAATCAGGTGTATATGCTAATGATAATTCTGTATTGTTTAGAGTGAATGGAGCATAGTTTCTTTGTGGCATGCCAAACTCTTCCCAGTCTTCAAAGATTCCAAACTCTCAGTCCAGCATACATTAAACATCCTATGTGCTTTACGGGAAGGGGGTAACGTCACGCCCCCGTCAGAAGACG